ATTCCTCGTAAGTCGAGGTCGTCGCCGCCTCCCAGGGGCCGCCGTGCGGTTTGGCACCCGCGCTCCGGCGACCATCGCCAGGTATAGGAGTCCCACGTCTCCAGCTGATGAGCGTGGTGTCCTCAGATTGTTCATCCTTTATCATGGGCGGGCCGCGGGCCCCGGCCGGAGGGCCAGAGCTAGAGCGAGGCGCGATCGGGACTCGAGTCGAGACTCGCGAAACCTTTGGACTCGGAGTGTCGGTCGGGTGCCTGTTTGGTAATGCTTCTTGCCGGTCATAGCCACGACACAAACACGCTACTATTGACATCACTGCGCCGCAGACCAGATGGACAATTACATCACTGTGGAGCTTCGGCTGTGTTGACGTGCCGGTTTCTTACGCTGGTAATGGTATATCCGTCTGATTCAATTCCGTACCATCAGGTCGACGAAATTACAAACCCCCGAGTCAAGTGACCACCGTCGCGCGGCCGCTTCACTTCGCCGGCCAGCATGCGTCTCGATCGAGATCAGCATGACATTGATATCATGGATTAAATGACAATGTGAACCAAGCTACAGCTAGGGTGTCTGCATGTCACCTGTCGCTGCCCAATCCGAGCAGCTCAATTGGGGCGGGCGAAATGAACGCTGTTGGTTTTGTCCCATCACGCTAAGCCGTCAAATTGCCTTGTTGAAACAGGCACTCTGAAAAGAGCTGCACACAACACGCTGCATAGATTCCCACTTTGTTGAAGAACAAGCTGCTCTCGTGGAGTTGGACCATGAACGTGAAGCAAGCCCGTATAATCCTCGGCTTTCGTCAGCTGTTTTGCCACAGGTCAGCTGGTGCAACATCGATTGCTAGTCAGACGAGTGGTGCACGTTACAGGTCAAGCTGCGTCGTGCCATCAAACATCCAGGACGTGCACAGCACCCTGCACAGCCGGTGTGGTAGTGGGGGGGGCGGGGCTGGCAAGAGGGACTTGATTGGCCGCTTTACTCAACGAACATTTCACCTCACACCAACTTGTCAAGTGAGGCGTTCCATGACTAAAGACTGTTGATTGGTGGAAGTTGCCTGGTCTGCGAAATCAGAATTTGAAGCTAGAGTACTCAGCGAATCTTGCAACCAAGCAGCTGCATTGATGCCAGCCCTGCATGCACTATGCTGACAGCTTCCGCCACCCCTGCTGGAGCGTCCTGGTCAATCACTGGGGCTGCCCCTTGCTTGCAGATGGCGCTAGACAGTGGGTCCAGCAATTCTGTTCCAAAGCTGAAGGACCCAAGCCTCTTGAAAGACCTTGGCTTGATTGGGGGCAAATGGGTGGGAGCGCATGATGGCAAAACAATGCCGGTGAGGCTAGTATCTCCAGGAACCTATATTGTTTTGACAAATGATTTAACCAGTGACTGCCTTGCACCTCGAGACCGGAGTTGAAACTGCTAACCAGGCATGGACGCCTTAGAGTTCTTGCCCCACCAGCCTACTACTCTTGCTGTAATGTTGGCTGTTCTGTCACCAGCAAGAGAGGGTCAAAATGAAGGGAGCTGGCCAGCTGGTGCTGGTGAAAGCGTCGCTCCCTCCTCATCTGTAGAGGTGGGTGGGTTATCTCCAAAACCAGTTGTGACCCGTCATGCTGGGCCTTATTTGTGTTCTCAGGTGCACAACCCCGCCACTGGGGAGGTGGTGGCGGAGGTGCCGCTCATGGGCGCCCAGGAGACCGCCGAGGCTATTGCAGCTGCAGACGAAGCATTCCAGACCTGGAGCAAAACCACCGCCAAGCACCGCAGCCAGCTGCTGAAGAAATGGTGAGCAGGCCACTTGTTGGAAGGACCAATTTTAGATTCAGAGCACTTGCCGTGAAGACGTGGCGCTCTGGTTTCATTGTGATTTTACAGCTGGGGGTATCTGCCTAGTCTGGAGGCTCATGAGTGTGATGCTTGGCCAGGTACGACCTGATGCTGGCAAACAAGGAGGACCTGGCGGTGCTCATGACAGTGGAGCAAGGGAAGCCGCTGGCAGAGGCACGCGGCGAGGTAAGCTGACGGCCACTTTGTCAACAGGAAGGATCATCTTAGCTTGGTGGAGAAAGCAGAGTTCACCGTGCCTGCGATGGGTTAGTCTGTTTTCTCCAAGTGGGTCATGCTTTCTCTTGATGCAACATCAGGCCGGAGAGCCAAAAAATCGATGCGGAGTCTGTAATATTTGAGATGCTGGAATGACGCCCTGTAATCTTCGCAACCTTGCAGATAGAGTACGGTGCTTCGTTTGTGGAGTGGTTTGCAGAGGAAGCAAAGCGCATGTACGGGGATGTCATCCCTGCCGCACGCCCCGACAACCGCATCCTGGTGCTCAAGCAGCCGGTGGGCGTGATTGCGGGTACGCAGACCGTCCTTGGGACGAACCAACCTTCAGGCCACCCTAGCCTTCGAACAAACACTTCTTGCTGAATTATGCTCCATCTAGATTATGTTTCACAACTATGTAGAGAGGGGTGCTCCTCGCCCTTTTTTTCGCCTGAGTATGCGGAGCTTAAATGCTTCACCTTCTACGTGACCCCTCTATTCGAAACGTGTACGTCTGATGATTGAAAGATTTGGTTATCACGTTATCAAATATCAGTCCTTTCTAAAGACATAAACGGCAGCTCATAGCCGCTCTGCATCGCTTGACCTACGTGAAGAATGCATCTGAAGACTTTCGAGAGCGTTTAAAGAGTGCCGGCTCCATTGCAATATGTAGCACCGAATTTCCAAACTCCACCTCTGCAGCGATAACACCCTGGAATTTCCCAGTGGCCATGGCGACCAGAAAGGTAAGTCAGCGTTTGGATTGTATACTTTTGTCATTCTTGACAACAGTGCTGGCTTTTACGGATCAGAGCGTTCAGTCGTCTGCTTGCCTCCGTGGGCTACTGATTTTCCTCAGTATGAGGCCGACTTCATTTGCTGCTTGCCCCAGCTCGCCCCCGCTCTAGCGGCTGGCTGCACGGCGGTGCTGAAGCCTGCGGAGCTGACTCCGCTGTCGGCGACGGCGGTGGCAGAGCTGGCGCTGCGGGCGGGCATCCCGGCGGGGGTGATCAACATCGTCATGGGGGACGCCAAGAGTATCGGGGAGACGCTGCTCAAGAGCAAAGAGGTGCGCCCATGCCGCCCGTCGTTGCACATTGCGTTGGGTCGAGGCGCTTCAATGTTCCGGGCATGAGCTGGATGGCACTGCAGAACCGAAAGCGTCTCCACCGTTTGACACGACGCTGTGCATGTTTGGGCGGCAGGTACGCAAGCTGACGTTCACGGGGTCCACCGCTGTGGGCAAGCTGCTCATGAAGGGGGCCGCCGACACCGTCAAGAAGGTGAGCGGGCATCGTCAAGGGGGGTCGCTATGGTTACTACCCTCTCAGTCCACTTCACCTGTACTTCCTCGACCTATTCAGAGTTGAATGTTGGCTTCTCGATGCCCGTTGCTTGGCCGGACTGGGCAACAAGAATCAAGTCTCATCTTGATTACCCGTCCAATCAAAACGCCTTAGGTGTCTTGTTGCTGCGACAGTCTGCCGCCTGCCAGCCCCTCTCGAGTGTTCCGCCCGCGCATGCTGATTCTCCTGGTATGTGGCGGTGCGTCAGATCTCGCTGGAGCTGGGCGGCAACGCGCCCTTCATCGTGTTCGACGACGCGGACGTGGCGCTCGCCGCCAAGGGCGCTCTGACCACCAAGTACCGCAACATGGGCCAGACCTGCGTATGTGCCAACCGGCTGCTCGTGCAGGAAGGTCAGCCCACGCCCCGCCCAGCTCCACCGCAGCATGGGCCGCATCAGAGAGCCGCTTCAAGCCGCCGATGGCCGTTTTGAGCCAGCAGAAGGCGTTGCCATGTCGAAGCTCGCACATCGTACTGTAGCTTTCACAGTCCGCTCATGCAGTCTGCCCCCGCTCGTGTGCGTCCTGCTGGTGCCTGCCGCTCACCCCCGCGTGCATGCAGGCGTGTACGACGAGTTCGCTGCCGCGTTCGCCGCGGAGGTGGCGGCGCTGCGGGTGGGCAACGGGCTGGAGGCGGGCGTGACGCAGGGCCCGCTCATCGACGAGCGCGCGGTGCAGAAGATCGAGGGCCACGTGGAGGAGGCGCTGGCCAAAGGCGCGCGGCTGGCCGCGGGGGGCAAGCGGCACGCGGCGGGGCCGCTCTTCTACGAGCCGACCATCCTGCTGGACGCCACGCCCGACATGCTCGCCACCAGGTGCGCGCACTGCGCGGCCGGGCCGCAGCCGCGCCAAGGCCGGGGACAGGCCGGGCTGCAGGGCTTTTGAGAATGTTAATTCCTCATGACCTTCCAACCGGTTTGAGAACTTTCATTGTCCCTTTCCGCAGAGGTTCAAGGACGTCGTAGGCACTGCAGCTTGTCGAGAACGGCTCACCTTGGTCTCAGGGATGCCACTCTGTGCTCCCGTGTTGCTGCAGGGAGGAAAACTTTGGGCCGGTGGCGCCCATCATGAAGTTCAAAACAGAGGAGGAGGCAATCCGGATAGCAAATGACACTGAGTACGGTGAGCACCCGCATATTGCACTGAGCCCTCAAACGGCGGCGTTCTCTTCCGACCTCGTCAATCACCGTGTCGGGGTCGGCACATTACTGCCCAAAGTCTCGTCATCTTTTTTTCGCATTTGGTAGTGCGTCTCAGCAAGTGGATGGGGCTGTCTTCACTGTCCGGACTGGCGAGGTCTCAACCCCGGCGACTGCTCGTCTGTCACAGCCTCCATCTCGTATTGTCTCGTCTTACTTTTTCGTTACTAGATATGCCCCGCTCCTCTGCCGACTCTGTTTCCGCTGTTCTGCTCGCGCAGGCCTGGCGGCCTACTTCTACACGGGCAGCCTGACGCGCGGTTGGCGCGTGGCGGAGGCGCTGCAGTACGGCATGGTGGGCCTCAACGAGAGCAACATCTCCACGGAGGCCGCGCCCTTCGGCGGCATCAAGCAGTCGGGCCTCGGCCGGGAGGGCTCCAAGTACGGCATCGACGAGTACCTCGAGGTGAGCCACGCCGCGGCAGGGGCACTAAAGAAACACTGGGGGCCGCCCTCAACCGTGTGCCAGCTCTGACGGCTGGCAGAACCCGCCGGCGCTGCATGGCCGGGGGCTGTCACAGGGGCTGGCTCGTCCGTCGACCCCCGGTGCCGCATTGTGGCCTTGAAAAGGACGCCTTCCGAACCGAGTCTTTCTTAGTGTCGTCCTCGGTCGCACTTCTGCTCTGCACCGTTCATCGTGGCTTAATCTATTGAGGACCCCTGCGAGGGTCTCACGAAACGACAGGGTGCCAGCAGACCGGCCTTGTGAACAGAGGAGGGAGGTCAGCAAAGAGCGCTTGTTAGTTACGGTACCCGCCAAGATGATTGTTGACCAAGCAGACGTGGCCGCGAGGCCCGCGCAGTCGTCTTCAACGTGGCGTGTGTCCCTGCAGATGAAGTACGTGATGCTGGGCAACATCAGGACGTGAGGACAGATCGGGTCTGCACGAGAAACACGAGGAGGCAACAGCCCGTTGGTGCGGACAGCGGGAATCGTATGCCGTGGAGGCTGCTCAATGAAAGCTGGTGCACGCAAAGGACGACGGTTCCGAGGTCGATCCGCCAGGACGGACACAAACGACCGTTGTGGACAGCGTGTTGCGATGAGCAATCTGCACAGACGCAGAAGGATCACAAGGGTGCAGTGTGCATGTACAGGGCAATGAGGCCCCTGTCCATGTCGATGATGGTAAGTACACATTGGTTCCCAGATCTGCTTACAGAAGCTCATGAGCATCACGATAGCTTCTCTGAGACAACCCCTTGCTCGCTAGCAGCATGTTGATGCTGACTCGTAAGAAATGACGTTGGCTGGATGCTGCCATGTGAAACTTCGGAATCAGAATTATCAGAGTGTTATGTAGCTGTGTCATGCTGCGCACGCATGATGCACATGCTGGCCGGTATATACGATTCCTATTATATATCTACTGAGTCCGGCATGGCCTCGTATAACAGCCTAGGAGGCTTGCTATCGTTGCAGCCACATGCACGCATAATTCATGCATCGGGTAGCGGTGTCGATGTCCACCAATATCATGTATAGTTCAGCTGTGTATATACACATAAACATGCCAACTGAAGTTTAGTACACCTTGCGCTGCATATGCTAATATCTAAGTTTCCGTCCAGTACAAGTAAAGCTCCACTCGATTGGTCGAAGTGAATGTATCTCAAGAAAATGTAAAATTCGGCACAGCTTTCCCTTCATGAATAGAAGTAGTCTGTGTATCAGTGTAGACATATTCAGAGCGCAGTAAAAAAACAGTCAGCAACATTGTGAACCGAATAAGTAGTGCTTGAAAATCGATAAAGAGGAAGTTCCCAAATCCACAACATAGATTTCAATGGTCATGAGCTTCTACAAGACTACAATAGGAACTGTAACAACACATACCAGGCTGGTAACTTCCAGAAAATCCATAAGGTCTGGACTTGATTTATAATTGTTATACAAGGCAACACTAAACCTGACAAGCATAGAAGAGCAGGAGTCATTCAACCAGGAGCTAGGGATAATTATGATGTGCAAGTCTACTTTTCTGCTCGATAATGATTCTGATTCTAATGATATCGGGAGACGAAAGTACGTGCTTTCTTGCTCGAGAGTAATCTAGCGACGACGGTAGGAAAGTGCGTACATCTACAAGGCATGGTCCATGTGCCTGTGTGAAATTTGTCGGGGCTTCTGTACACTGTTGAAGGCAACATACTTCCTACGAAATTCTCTGGCGTCATATCACTGAATCTTACTTGCTCGTCGCAACATCAATAGATGGGGGCTGATAGACCCGAGTCTCCAAAAGCGGGTTCTGGATGAACCCCTCTTCCATCCCAGAGCCGTCCTCGTGCTCAGTTGTGGTCAACAGGGGCGTAGCGATGGTGTTGGGAGATGACAGAATAATGGCTGGTACTTCTTCGTCTTCCACAGGGCACTGGCAGAGCGCCATGAGGCAGGAGAAGACCAGCGAGCACTGCAGAATATGGGAGAAGATGCCCTCAGAAGGAGCCGTGGCAGAGCACAGGACTAGGGACTAGAAGGCCCAGCAGGAAAACCATTGCCCTGGCAATGGGAGCAATAACAGCATACTAGTGCTCTTTATGACTGGAATCCAAGGATCTGCAAACGACCTGAATTCAGGGTGATGCAAAACTTCAAGGGCAGCCAATGCCTGCACTAGCCAAGAAAGAAGCACCAGCAAAACTGTTTCCACAGCAATGTGAACCTGATAATGAAGATGCCTATGATGTTGCAATGTTGCAAGTCCCTTGAGCAGAGTAATACTTTGCAGTTTTACCAAGTTTCTAGCGAGTTTCGTTATAAGAACATTAAAAGCATACCAGTAGAGCAACGGCGATCCCAATAGCCACGCAGCCAAAGAAGGACGACGCGGCGGCTTCATGTGCGCGATGGAAGACGGCAAAAGGTTCGATCACTGCAATTGAGCAAAAAAGCAAGTGAGGTCAGCAGTGCATATCGTCAAACCAAAGAAAAGATGAGCAGATTCTAATGCATCTCGAGCTTTTTCATCAAAGGGGGCGCGAGCAGGCGGGCCTGTTGTAAGCTTGCACTCTTCAAACGGTTTGGCAAATAGAGGGGCAAACGTGCTCGGCTTTATCTGCACTTGACTTTCTGTTTGAGACACAATCGTCCAATTCCGAGCTTACCTTCATTGGAAGCCTTCTGGCGTTGCACCGCAGCCAACTCCGGCTCTTCTCTGAATGTCTTCAACTTGTCCGCCAGACTGGACCTGAGGGTGTCCCAAAGGGACATGACGTGGGACTGCACCGACTGGCTCTCTTGAGCTGCATCTGCTGCCGCCCTTGCTTTGGCTTGTGCCTGCTGCTGAGCCTCCCGCCACTGCAGCTCTTCCCGAAGCCTTGAAATGGCAGCCCTTCGAAGCTCAGAATGGATTCTTTCAATATCTAGAATGCGACTCTGAAGATGAACAGTGCTCAGCAGCTCCATAACCCTGCCAAAATGGTCATCCTGTTCGCTGTCCATCCAGCTGTCCGTCCCCAGAACCAGTCTAGGGGTCTCGTCATTGCCCCACGACCGCTCAAAGTTGCCCCCCTGCAAGAACACGTTGAACAGATCCCCTGGTGCACCCACGACTATCTCCACCTGCCCAGCTGGCTGCAGAGCATGAACGCCTCCACCCCGCAGGCCCCGCACCTGCCATGCAACCGGATTAACTAAAATTAAACCTGGATACAGGGCTTTTCATAATGTAGATGTCACAATTCACTGATGCTTGGAACAGTTCTGTTAATCCTCCTGAAATAGAATAGTTGCAAACCTGAGTTGCAACTCCGACAAGTCAGTAACATCGATTGCTGGAGCCCATGAACTTGTAAGAAACATCCTTTGACAGGACACGATCAGTTGACTTTGAATTACTACCACATCAACAGGGGTAGGGGCTGGGCATAGGGAAATGACAAAATGCAAGGAACCCTTTGACACTGAGATGACCTTACCAACGTCAAGGGACCAAACGGGACTTCATCAGAGTTGAAGTGATGGACATACTGGCCACATCCCCGCTGCAAAGGAGAGGAAGACAATATAAAGCAGACTCATGTGATACCTACTGTTGTACTGCAGTCACTAGAGGCACAAAGGGCGGTATCTTGAGCATAGAAAAAATTGACCAGCACGTGACAACTTGTTCCACACTTGAAGTTCAAACGGAGCAACAAATCGTCTCTCCACACTTACCCCCTCACTCTCTGCGGATGCCTTCAAAGCACATGTGACGAACATTACAATCAAAAAGGCCGCCCAGCGGGGTCGAATGTTAGCCATGGCGCTGTCTTGGTCGGAAGAAGGCCTTCCACTGCCAGGGAAGAACGTTGCTCTCGCGCGTCAGCACTGGTGCCAGGTCCGGAACAGCTTCTCAAACTGAAAACTCCGGTAAATTTTAAAACTTAAAAGTGTCGGAAGGGGGAGTTGGAACTTTCTTGAAGTTTGCAGAGGTTGTGGCCGGTTGATGTCATTGTAGTATGTAAATACGTTTTTGTGGTCGTGTCTTCTCATCTGCAGCCGCGGCGCGATCCCGATTGACTGCATATACGTTTCCAGATTGGAGCTGTACCAGAAAAATAGGTAAGCCAGTTCACACTTGAAATGAGGCATCGCACGACCTATTAAATTTAGGTATATCGTCGAGGAAGTTCAACTTCGGCATTGCCTTCTGTGCAGCGGGCGCCTTCATGCAACAGCAGGACATGTCCTGATCGCGTAGTCCTAGAGTCTAGCCGTATAGGGAGCCGCCCAGCTGCTGGTCCGGCGGCCACTTTCTATCCTCTCCTCTTTAACCGGGCTTTAACCGCACAACCCGTTGCGTGAGACTTTTCTGTTTTGACCAGTTGGCCGCGAGCTGGTTGAGGATGCTCTTCTCTTTGTAACCTTGATCATCGATGCATGCTACTTACATGGCCAAAAATCGCAATCAAGCGGAGGACTGAGACGTCATTCAGGAATAAGCTGGCCGCAAAGCTGGGGTGTGCAAGCAGCCAGTCGCTGATCAGCGACTCTCCTCGTTGGGGAGCAGGAATGTCGTATCCTATCAAAGTATATCACAAAACAAGGCAGCATTTGGCGACTGTCACCGATGATACGACTTTCGGTGAGTAGAACTTCACAGCATTGGTTCTTGTCTAGATGAAAGTGGTGCCGGGGTAAGAGCTGCCATCCTGGCCTGTTGTGGTCATCATGGTTCTTCCGGCATTGAACACCTGACACTGTGACTTCTACAAATCCCCATAAGTTGGGTGGTGCTTAGATGCTGGCAAGAGCGCACTGCAACCTCTTTCTGGTCTATCCTTTTCAGTGCACTTAGCTGTCCTGGGGCCTGTTGGCGTGCAGCTCCTCTCCTTATCAAAGATGACCACCGTACGCAGAGATTTGTGCACGAGTTACAATACCCTGTTGATCAGTCGTGCTACTTGGAGAAGTGTTATGGACTTGACAAGAAGCTCCCTATATACTGACCCTTGAGAATTGTTGTCTGCCCCAGGAGAATTGAAGGGCGCTATGGCCCAAGTCTCAGGAGTTCAACCTGATGAAATGAAGTTATACTTTAGAGGGAAACATTTCGACGGCGAGACCATGGCTGAAGCAGGCGTCAAGCCGGGTGCCAAGGTCTTGCTTGTGGAGTGCGAGAACTTCCGGCAGCGGCGGGCAAGTGAACTGGAGGCAGAACAGGAGCAGGCTTACCAAAGAGCAGCCACAACGGGGAAGCAGCAGAGCCTCGCACAGGAGGAAGCACAGAGGAGGGCACTGGCGCTGGAGGCAGAGCGCGTCGAGCGAGAGGCAAAACAGGATGAGGTTCGCAGGGGCTTACAAGCAGTAGCGGAAGTGGAAAGAGAGGTGGACCCTTTAGCACGCGAGGTATGCTGACCGCCCTATCGTGTTCGATTCTATCAAGAGGTTGTGCATACATCTGTCCTGGCTTCCTGAAACTCGTTTCCCCCATCATCTGCCCCTTCTTCCAGGTTTCTGCTCGGCCTTGTTGGGGCGGAGAGTTCCAAGCATCGCACTCCGGCGCCTGGCTTGTCTGTTGGAGACTGTGCCTCCTGTGGCGTTAGCATCATATCAGTAGGCTATGGAATATTATCTTTTGCAGGTGGATGAGATGGTGGTCTATAATTATCTCTTGCAGGTGGATGAGATGGTGGCGTCGACAAGTGGCGGAAACGTACCTGACGAGCAGCGCTCTCGGATTTTGAACGAGCTTTTCACTCAGAAACTCTTGAAGCTGGACTCAATACAGGGGGGTGACGAAGTCCGGAAGAATCGAAAAGCTCAGGTAGGCAGTCCAGATGCGTGATGATTATGACTGCATCGGTGCCCAGTGCAGGCTTTTAAATTCGTATTTTGGTAATCCGGAAGGGGAGATATGGAGGACATTCAGTTGCCCTGCGTGTCGCCATGCTTGATGATATTCTTTTCTAGAACAATGGATGTTAAAAGACTTGAGGGAATTGTTGTGTCTGAATTGGTATCCTCAAAATAATTGACCTCTGAAGCTCACAACCCGCCTGTTAGATTGGCTCGTTACTGTGGCATCTGTCACGCAGATTGTTTCCTCATGCATGTGGAACTTCGTCAACTTAGGTTGACTGTACGCGGCTTCTTGTGCGCAGATCAGCCGCATCGAAGACCTATCAAAGCAGCTCGACAATTATGGTAAGGGGTCCGATTCTGGCAACAGCAGAGCTGTTACAGTCGTCGACAATCGAAGTGCCTTACAGAAAGCAGAGTAAAGTCTGATAAGCCCTACGTTTCCTGCTTGTAGATGAAGCGCAGGAGTCAAATTCTTGTAGCGCGGTCTTTGTACCATACACATTGTATGTGGAAAAGCAAAGAGGTAGAAACACCTTTCGCATTTCAGGAGCACGCTTCTCTGTAGGACACAAAACATTTAGGACAATATTAACACAGTATAAGTACGTTCTGGTGAGATAGAGCGGCAGGTTGCGTCTCAGAGCTGTGGAAATGATTGCTCAACTCAGCAACACATTCACAGGCAATCCGGTTCAAGGAAGGGCAAGCTCGGGTAGGTTTCATGTGCTATTTTAACGGCAAAGCATTGTTGAGTCTGGTTCTAGAAGCAGAGCAACACTCCGCAAGGATGATATCATTGCATGCAACATTAAGCGATTACAATCGTAACCAAATCAGTCTTATGGGTTGCTGACGCCTGTGCTTCACGAGATCATTATCTATGAGGAATTACAGATACAATTAGGCATCCGACTTTATTTCCGGTTTCCTGTCCACCCCCTCCGGGGGTGCGTCGGTCGGTCTGAACATTCTGTTAAATATTCGATCCCTGGAAAATCCGGTAAGGGTTATTCTGCCAGATGAGCAGCGTTACCGGACCAATATGCCTCCCATAAGGGCTTTTCCGGTTTGTACCACACGTTTTTGCTTTTATTTGCATCAAGGGTCATTTGAGTTGGACAGAGGTATGAGGTACCAACCTTTTCGTGTCTCAAACGTGGACCAGACGTCACGTTTTTGCACGAAGATAGCCATTTTAGACATCCAGATTGTCTAAATATTTCATCACCCGACTCGGTTATTTCTGCAGAATTCGGGTCGGTCGGTTACAGGAAACCGGCAATCAAATTCGGACGGCCTTACCACTAGATACTTTAAGCATGCATGAAAACAGCATGCAGCCGCGACCGTATATTCTGCATGACTCCAACTACATTGCGCGAACATGCCCCTGGCAGAAGCTGCCATTGCAGATATGGTATTAAGCTGCACGCAAAATCAGGTCAGATCGATGTTTTAATAAATGCGCTAGGCGGCGCAGCATTACGCCAACATTTAGAGCAGACTCGCTTTACAATTGTCTTCATCAACCAGCACATGCATGGCATCAACTATATCCCGCCACGGCCACGGTGCACCAGGCGGCACCGGTAGTTCCGGCCTTCCCGCATTGGTTGCATGGCCCCCCCAACGCGCTGCACCAAGCAACCCCAACCCAACCGGCCCGGGGGCCGCTGCAACATCTACCGGCCTCACCGCTAGCGCAGCGGCGGAGATCTCAGGGCGCCCAAACATGGCGCAAATCATACCCCACGGAACACATCCTGGTGGTGACGACGACCCGGCCGGACCAGTTCCTCACTGAGTCCGTCACGCATCTCAAGGAACCACTCCTCGCCGCGGGTTTTACCCGCGCCGCACGATCATGGATGTGATCAAAACCTTGCGCCCGACGGTTCACCAAACGTGGGTACCCAAAACGCACATGGGCGATGTGCTGATCGGCTCGGTGGCGGACACAAATGCGACCTGGTACAAATGCGAGTACCAGGGCCTTACGGCGGCTGTGCTCGCTCGGGGACTGCTCGTTGAGAAGTGCAAGCTAGCCCAAGAACGATGCGGCACCGGCGAGCGCGCGGCTGCACATGTGCGCGCCAACACCCATAACACTCGAGCTATTGCGGCGGCTGCGGCGGAGGCATTGGCGCCCATTGACAACGCGCCCGGTCGAAGTATGACCATGGACGAGATGCAAGACCTTCTGGACCGCCTTGTCAAGGGCAAGAACCAGGAGGGGGGGCCACAGTAGGGCCACCACTAGTCTAGCGCAGATGATGATCTCATAAGTTAGCATTGAACGCCATTCCGCCGTAGCCGTTTGCATAGCATACCGAGTCATTAATACGAACATTTTGCCCTTATATGCATGATGTGTAGGTACTGCAGTTGGTTGCTTGTTTTTCGTAGTGAATAATGACGAACATCGGACATGACTTGCAGCAGCCGTAGCAGGCTGCAGAGTCAACTCGTTGTATCCCGATCTCACCAGAGTGTTGTCCGGTGGCTCAGTGTGGCTCAGGGTTTATAACAGCAAGTGACCATCGACTATCTCCTACGTCTCGGGCCTGGCATAATTGTGCGTGGGTTACATGCTTTTCATCGATTGCATGACCTAATGGCAACCTTGGAAACGTACTTAAACCATCATCATCTGCATGGCAGAATGCATGCCAGAATGAACGATGATTGCATCCTACAATAAGCTCAGCGTGAATCCGGAGCTGAGACAACGCCTCATACATTTTGTAAATCACAGAGGACACAGATTCGAGGGCACAGGATCAAGAAACAGATGGACATGAGATGAACATGCTTCAGAACATTTCACGCTACGCTCAATGGTAAGTTCATTTATCGTGTTACAAGAACGTTAATCAATCAGGAAGATGTTTGCCAGCCTGAAATTGGGCGACAGGATCAACATGTCTAATCTTGCTACAGAATGTAACCGTTCTGTCCCTAACAAAGAGATTGCGGCTTTTGGATGAATCGTTCTTTAAGACATGTCACATCACGGGCAAGTCACGCTAGGCCCTCGTGCTCACCACCCTTGCCCCTGGCTCCCAGCCCCCGAGGACCCGGGCTGCTGTGGCTGAATCATCCAGGGAGGGAGGATCGCAGGTGCCTGTGTTCCCGTCCCCACTGAACCGGGGCCTCCATTTGACGGCCAAGCGGGTCCCGTTGCAGGCACTCCTGGGTACCCTCCTTGATACCCAAAACCTACGTTGTTCGATTGCGGCTGCACCGAAATACCTGGCGCTTGTTGTGCCGAAGGCGGGAATTGTGAGCCACCCCCAGCATATGTGGCTTGGTACGGCAGTTGGCCCCCTGCACCCGGCCGCTGCTGGTAGGGCCACGCCTGTCCTGCGGCCCCGCCTGGAGTCCCCGCCTGCCCGCCAAAGCCGCCGTACCCGGCGCCAGCAGCTGCTGGCGGGCCGGCCTGTTGCAGCCACGGCGCCTGCCCTGGGGCCGCGTATTGGTAGGGGAGCCCCTGCTGCGGCGGGCCCCCGCTGAAGGCAGGCGTCATCCCTGGGGCTGGCCCGTAGCCAGGTACCCTCGCCCCTGGCCCAAAGCCTTGTGCGCCTGCTCCCCCAAAGCCGGGCCCGTAGTACCCTGCCGGCCCCCGCTGTGGCCAGCTCGCACCGTACGCCGCACGCCCTGCAGCCTGCGGGGCCGATCGGAGGCCCATTTCTCCAAACCCTTCGAGAGGCCCGCTCCCAGCGACTCCCGCAGGCGCCGCTGATGGAGGCCTTGCCTGACCGTTGCCCCCTGCGAGTCCTGCCTGGCTGCTCCCGGGCGCCGGCTGCGACCCTGGGCTTGCACCCCCGGACCCTGCACCGCCCCACACTGCCTCCTGCTGCCCGGCACGCTGCTGGCCTGGGTCGACTACCTTCTGAGGGCCTGGCACAGGCTGGCCGCCGTTCTGCCGGGGCGGACCAGGCGGGCTAAACGGATCACCCCAGGACGGAGCACCCGCAGGAGCCCCGCTGCCAGAAGCAGCCTGCGGGGATGGCCCCTGCTGAGCGCTGCTTCCACCCTGGCAGCTGCCACT